GCCCCCCCCCCCCCCCAACCCCCCACCCCGCCTCCTCCTCTAATTCTCTGTTTCAGCGTTAAAAACAAAAGTACCATTACGATATTTAATAAAAACATTAGTTTGCATGTAGTCCAGCGATGTCATACCTCTTTCCAGGCAAGAGACAAGAGGAAAGGATATTCATTAGGAAGTCTACTTACGTGAGCGTTGGAAAAGCCAAACTTCCGAGCTTCCCTTGTCTTCCTCATCTCAACATTCCGTAACCCAAAAAGATAAACGAGCGGCTTAAGACCGTTAGATCTGCCTCTTTTACCGCGACGCACGTCAAAAAAATCCACTGCACTCTCTCCCAAATCTCACGCCCTGATTTTTCGCCGCTCTTATCAGGAAAGCTCTCGACTCGTCGGCTGATGGTAGCACGCGGACGTGTCCAAGGGTGCAGTCGGGGCGAAGCGACAAGGCCGTATCGATTCGGCCCTGAACTAGCAAACGCTCGCCCTCCCGCCCCGAGTCGCTTGTAGCTTTCCTCCTTGTTTCCACGAGCCTTGTTTCGACATTTATCCTCACGTCAGGATGGTGGGCGCCAGGTGGCCGAGGTGCGAGGGAGCTCGCGACAGCGAAAGCGAAAGCGAACGACGATAGCGTGATTGTTGTTTCAAAATCAGATGGCTCTTTTGTCGATCGTATAGTTTGCGCTCTTGGGGGTTAAATCTATTAAGGAGGAGCTTTATGATGTAAGCGTAACATCGATCAGGGATTATCATGAGTTATATGCCCTTTCACATACTTGGCACACATTGTACCTTGGATTATTTATGTTATGATAATTTTTTCTTCTTTAAAAGCTTCCCTCGGCTCTCTAGACGATTATCAATGGATCATCGCGGACAAACAAAATAGTTGCTTTTGGTATAATGAGATTTTTTTGTATGACGTAAGGATTTCAGTAAAGATTTTCAGTAGTCCTATTGTTCATATATCGCCAATTATAAAATCTGTCGATGATTGCGTTTATTAATTTAGTAATAATAATTTTCATAAATAAATATTCATGTCGAGAGATTGTCTTTGCACTTCTAGTTTTGTTATTATAAATGACAAATTCAGGGATAAAAATTTCAGTTAATAATTTCATAAAACTTGATATACGAGCAATGCATAATAAAATACGAATAACATAATTTGTCATGTAATAAGATTTTTTTTTTTAATATTGTCGTTGCTTTCACCTTAAATCATACGAATATATTAATTTATCAGTAACACGAGCATGGGAAAATATTAAAATAAGCTAAATCTCTGAATTGTAAAAGTGATAAATATTTGATAAGTTTAAGCATAAATAGGGTTGAAAATTTTTGTATTTCTAAAATGACTATTTATGCTCGATCAACTTTTCGTACATTTAAATTGTATTTTATTGAAACATAATTGCTTCTTATTCGAAATATTAACAAATATATTAATATTTTAAATAATTCCTGCGTCCACTTATATTCTTTAAACTGAAATTGGTCAATTATGAGCCGCATTAGAATATGTATATATATATATATATATATATATATATATATATATATATATATCTGTCGATTTTCAATATCGAATTCGTCATTATTTCTCTAAATTCTTGAGAAAAATGTAGATGAAATATCTTCATATATGCTCTACGCGGGAAAGAAAAATGATGGAAGAAATCCACCGTAATTTCTTTATTTTTTTGTTGTTTTTTTTCTTTCTTTTTTTGTTTTTCGTTCCTTTAGTAAGATTGGATTGTATCTTGGTGATATTGGGATAAGAAATCACGCTTGTTAGTCTCCCCAAAAGGAGAAAAGTAAGCTCCTCGGGGATTTCCTATTTATAGTTTGCAGTAACATCCCAGTAATTACCTCTGCTAGTAAATTGACGAACTTCAGAAATTTATTGTAATTATTGTTCTAATGTTATTTCCGGAAAATTGACAAAACTTAGTGAATTATTAATATAATCTAAATTACAGCAGAGACTTATTTTTCTTACTTTGCGTCTAGCCAATTGTTGGTCCAGGCGATGTCGACATCCCATTAGGCACTCCCAGATTCCAATACCTTGATAACTGTTACCATTATCCTCAATATTATCTATTTTCCGCCGATAGTCTTCTTCGGAAAATTCGTATACATCGAGTGGATGTCGCGAACCATCCGGACTTCCTAGTAATGCTGTTGCCGATAGTTGATGTCTGAGTACATTAATATATTTTCTATTATTTCATAACAAGATAGTATTTTTGCTTTGATAAAAAAAAAATTACATAATAACATCTCCATTCATATATTGTATATGTATAAGAATAAAAAGTTTATATATATGCATTTCATTTTATTTAGTAAATGTTTGAGAAAAATGTGAATCTGAATATTTCATTTTCGTGTAAACAATTGCAAATAGCTAAATGTAAATAAATTATTTTTACTCTCGCAATAATTATAATTGTCTCTTAAAATATAGTTTATAATATAGAAATTTCTAACATTAATAATGTATTTATAAATATATTTTATAAAATAGAGATTTTACTGATCTACTTGCAAAAGAATCAAGTAAAAGTCAACAAAAAATTTACACGGACAGGGCTTCGTTAATTGCAAAAATATCCAAAAATTTTATCTATATACAAAAATATATTACTATTTATTATTTATACGAAATCTTAAAGATTGAAAGATTAAATATACGTTAGAGTTTATGCACATTATAAATGTCCGAAAGAAGATAAGTAGTCACTATCAAGATTATGTCCGACATTTAAGAAATAATTTTATAATTTAACAATATTCTTAATATTTATTTAATTGATATTTTATTTCTAAAAATTTTGACTCCTTTCAAAAACTCTCCACTTTCAAATATTTTATTATATAGTAGAATAGACAGTTACTGTATCCTAATATGTTGTATTATATTTTTCTTATTTCTCTCTTTATGGAAAATTATTAAATAATTGGTTTATTAGAGCAAAGCAATGGAATGAATTATAATTGATAAAGTTATTAACATCTTATTCACGTATTACGTATTCCTTTTATAAAATACAGTACCTTAAAATCACATAGTATATATCTCAAAATACAAAAAGTAAATTTCACCGAACAATCTTGCAAATTCATTCTCTTTACGTGACATTTTGAATTTTCGATTTCAACTGAAAATGTACTTGCAATCTTTAGCTCAGCAGTGATATATATCAAAAGCAAATAAAAGATAGACGGAAAACGACCGAGTAATCATAAAATAAATCCGCTCACCCAATGTAATCTCTCGAGCTGATAGAGTCCCATGACATGGCTGTATTGGATATACTATATTTGTCGTGATGTGTCCATTCGTGGCAATTGGGTCGGTCAAGAGTTTCCGCCACTGACGCCACTTTCGCCTGGCTCTTGGCCGCACCGCCGATCCCTTTCGTCGGCGTCGAAAAGACTCCTCGACGCTCCACAGCTGCTTCTGATATGCTCCTGCCCCTACGAAAAACCTCGACGCTTCACCTCGATCCCCGAGAATAGTCGTCATCGCTGGGCGTGGGTGACGAAAAGCCGCTTTCACGCTGCCACGTTGAATGCATAATATAAGTAATCGCAGGGATTTTTCACGTATCGCCCGATAATGACGATCGAAGGTCACCAGATGCGCTCTATGGACCAACTATTAAAGAGAGTCCAACTTCACTTTCTCATAGATTATTTTCCTTGTTGTTGGAATGGCGTTTATTCATTGATATGTATAAGTTCATTTGTATAGTACGAAACGTTTTCTACAGTATTTGAAACAATTAATGAAATTAATCCAAAAGAAAAAAAAAACAAAAATTAAAAAACTAAATAGGATATGTAAGTACATCATATTTCCACGTGTATGTACTAACTTTTATTTTCAAGAATCGAAATATTGTTTAAATCGAAGTTTAAAATGATTTATTTAGAAATCAACATTAAAATATTATTTTACTCTACTACTTTATTATTACAGCTATTATTTGTATTATTTATGTTTAATATTGATGGTGATATTCATATTATCGTATTTTAGATGAGTTGTGGATTATAAACACATACAATTTATAAATAAATACATACATACACATATATATATATATATATATATATATATATATATATATATATACATATAAAGAGAATATTTTTATTACTTGATTTTTTCTTCTTATAAAGAGGAAAATGCCTCTATTAACTTAATTACATATTTATTAATTTAAAATTATTCATTATAAAATTATATTAATAGCTTATATTATATTATTGTTGTTGAAATTATTTAAGAACTTTAACTTTTTATCTTTTAAGGAATTAATTTCAAATTTAAAGTACAACTGTGATATTTTAAGAGTAATATAGGCATAAGTAAATAAAAGAAGGAAGGAAAATAATCAAATAAGTAGGCATTAATAATAATTTGTAATATTTGAAACATTAGAATTTTGTAATAATAAACATTGTTTGAATGAAAGTAAAAGTTAAATAATTGAAACTGGCAATGAAATGAGATTTCACATCGTACAAAAGAATGGCGTAATAAATTTTTAATTAAATAAAAAGTTAATTTGTTCATATTTTAATCTTACTATGATGATACTCTAAATTAGAAATATAATTGCTTTAAAATTCGATTCGCTTAACTAAATAGTAATGTAAATATAATTATGTAATGTTTTACAAGTCCTATATACGTTGAAGAATCGGTCTAGCTGTATTAATGGACGACGTACCCATAAATAAGAGGAAAATCAGAAAGAAATTACATAAAATGGGGATATAGAAACTGGATTGTTGAAACGTAACTACTAATTACTTACAAATGGATGCATGTATCAGTACATTCATGACTAACATAACAATAGCAAGGATACAGAAGGTAGAAGAAGAAATAAGAAAGAAACAATAAGCATAAAAAATATAACTGATGTGCCCTAATTTTATCTAAAGAAAAGGAAAGAGCGCAGCACTCAAAATCTACAAGAATGAGAGGTAGAAGTAGAGGATAGAAAAACAGGAGTATCGAATATATTGATAAAATTGGATCTGTCGGTGTTGTCATTCGAGAGACTACCATCCGAAATCAAAATCTTATTTCTCAATGCGACTAAAGCTCTTGTCAACGCAAGAACAAATCATCTTCGCAGGACACGCCCTACATTTACACTCGCCCTTGGTGGGTCAGTAAACACGCACGGAAGGCATGAATGACTATCGTAATAGTCATCACCACTCTCTCATATTTTCTTCAACTATACTATTTAACTTGCTATTCAATTATAATATTATTCGACAAAATTTATTAAATACTTAATTAACAATTTTACGAAAATATTATTGCTGTTTATGTATTCATAATAATACAGATAAGATACGCAGTGGATGTATTTCAATATTATTCGCATGTATTACTATAAAACTTCAAGAATAATGAAAATCCGTATTTTAGGGAGAAATTGTCGTAAAATATAATTCTACAACCTACAGTCTCAAGTACAAAATATTTATATCAATTGTATAAATTAAAATAATAACAAAGAGAGGTAGTGATTTATAATTTATTATTTACTTCCACTTTACTTTCACTGACAGACGAAGTTGTAAATAAATATCCCTGTAAAATGTTTTATACTGCAAATGCAAATTATCAAAAGCTCCAAGACAAAAAAAAAAATTATCGTTATATGCTCAATACTCTATACTGTATACATATGCATATACATATACTTTAACATAATTCTAGTAAGAATAAACTTTTTGTCATTATCTTAATCGCTTTCATCCGAAATCAACATACGGTATAATATACCGTAAAAGCAGTAGTCAAGCATATGTTAAAAAATTATTAAAATTAGTTACTCTGACAAATTCATACTAATAAGTATTATATTATTGTTTTTTTTATAATGAAAACTAAATTTCATATTAAATCTCAAAATTGGGAAAAATGACAAATCTTATAAGCTACCCTAATAAATCAGTTATGTCGTTTATATATATATATATATATATATATATATATAATTATATGAAAGAGAAATTAATGTTCCTTATATGGAAGCTTGAAATTTCACATGAATTGACGATTCTAATAAATTAGAATAAATTTTTATAATTCCAAAAACATATTGTGTCACTTTACTTGATACAATAATTACTAATTCGTATTCTACGATATACGCAACACAGCCCAATAATTCTAAATATATGAAAAGATATATAAGAATGGCATGTATTATTCGACTGCTCTATATGCAGAATTAAATCAATACCTGTGATATTGTAATTCAACTTTTACAAGAATATGAAAAATTTTTTACTCCTCTCGCCCCATTGTATATAATTCTATTGTCATATCTAATCTCACAATAAATACAAATACAACAATATCTGCTCGAATACATTGCGAAGAACAAGAAACCTATTATAGTTGAATAGTAAACGAATGAATAGGAGATATATCGTACTGATACAAAATTCACATTCCCAATATAAAAATAATTTGCGTATTATTTTATAAAAAATCATTCCAATTAAAACAGATAAATAGCATAAAACATCTAATTGTCTTTGACTCCGGCATAAATCATATCCCTTATGAACTACTTATTATTATGTGTTATATTTACAATAAATAATTGTATGTAAATGTATGATTTGATACACGCAAATAAGATTATTTATGAAAAGTAGTGAGATTAAAATTAAATTATAAAACTGTGAATAATAATTGTTCTGAGAAAAAGGATAAACTTGCTTTACTAAATATAGTTCGAAAGTAAGGTTACTAAAATAAATAAGAAACGACAGATTGTTACAAGGCCAATGTTTCGGCACGCCTCATTTATCAATAAATTCTTAATTCAAAGAGTAAAATGTATAAATTGAATTTATAACAATTATATAAAGTTTATACAAATTTACCAACGATAATTTAAAATTATACACTTATTATTGGCGATGTTCTTTCATTTTATTTCAAAATTTCTATTCATAAAAATTCACTCTTCGCAATGTCGATGCGAATAAGGGAATAGAATTATTGAATCAATACGTTCAAATGTAGGACACTTTTAGTCTTTAAGAAAATAATAAAATTATTTATTGCTCCGTTTATTGCGTATTACGATATTACTATGAGTGCAAAATTTCAATCACAATTCAATTGGTTTTAATATCTTTAATACAGTCAAATATATCAAAGCTTAAATATAATTAAAACAATTTGAATTTTAATAGTTCATTATGAAGTGAGTAACAGGTATTGATAAAGAATAGGTTACATATTTCATAATAATTCTTTAAATAATATAGTAGATTAAAAATTATTAAACAAATTCAATGTTTAATTGTATCGTACGTACTACAAACGTCAGAAAATGAATTAATTCTTTGCTTCTTCTTCTTCTTTTTCTCTCTCTTCGTTTTAGAAAACATAAGTAGCATATACATCACAAAAAATTACGAAAAACTAACATAAATAACTATTATACAGCTTTGTTTGTTTATTTATATTAAATGCTTCAACCCTAAAAAATTTCATTGTATTTTCTACCAATAAGTCCTATGAATTTAAGATGTAATTTTTTTTTTTTTACCATTTTCAGATAAACATTAATCACTAAAGATTCTATATTCCTAGTAAAGTAAATATACAATTTATTATAAATAACATACTTATATTTTGAAAAATATATTTATATTATTGAAATTGATTAATTGACCGATTAATGCGATATAAGTTTATAATTAATAAGAAAATGTAATGTTTCTATTTAATATTTATAAAATTTCATTATATTATATTGAATGAATTACATTTGAAGTTACTTCAGGTATATTTTGTAATCACAGCAAAGGAAATGGTTTGAAAGAAAAACACTTATTTAAAAGAGTGAAGTGAATATTTATGAAAATTACAGATATTCTCATAATCTCTTTCAACGTATCGCATGCTTAATATTTGAAAATTAACGGTTCAACAATTTCAAATCAAGTAACATGTTTAATTGAAAATAATAATCCTTCGCAAACTCTACTTATTTAGCACAAGCTAATTTAAATAACTGATTTTTTTATTCTTATTTGAAAGAACTTCATATCATATCAATACAAGATCAAAGGCAGTAGAAATTAATTATAAAATGATTAGTATTTTTGCGTTTGAATTATAAAAAAGACAAGAAATTATTGATATGCTCATTTGACTAGAATGTACTAAGCATTTGAAAAAAGTTGACGAAAGAATCACTAATTCTTAATTTTTTAGCTCAAAAAAACTTTATTATTAAATTGAATCTTATGAATTAAATAGAAAATTTAAATATACGAACTTTTTTTTTTAATTATTTTCCAAAATATTTATATTACAATGAAATAGAAAGAAACATTTTATGTATATTTGCACGTTTCTTTTCTAGTTTATTTGGTTTAAGAATCTCTTATCTCGAATAAAAAAACTTATCTAAAAATATCATTGAGAACTCGTTTCTATATTTAACGTGTATTTTTATAATTTTTTTAATATCGTCTATCGTGTATCGAATGTTCATATTTATTAAATAAAATTGCATTATTTGAATTAAATTGTTTCGAAAGGCTTCCTTCTTTACAATTATCGAATTCAATATTT